CAGATACAAAGTCCTATTTTTACTTTTAAAGGGATTTTACGAAATAATATTATATAGCTACATTATTCAAAATATAAATTTTGTAAAATATAAATTTCATGAGAATATTCTCTACAGAGAACACTGTATATAATCTTCATTTAATATTTCGTCAGAAATAATCATTAGTATAGTTAGAATAAGTATTCATTTAAATTATCTCTTGTAAAATTTATATTTTTATTGCTTACACTTTTGGCAGGAAGAGGGTTAAGTTGGTCCTTTTTACCCCACTCACGCGTAAGCTTTTAGTGAAGCTATATAAAACAAACTGTTGAATCTAACTTAAAAATAACAATACATCTTAACCAACATGTAAATAACGTATACATAAAAGTTGTATTAAAGTCTCGTAAACTAAACAACAGTGCTCACAACCAATAATTAAAGAAAATACTTTTGTTATAGATTTTCAAACATTGATGGCTGATTATACATTTTTTCCCTCTAATTTTAAATATTGTGTTTGAAAAATTCCTAACTTTATTTGTTTGAGATATCGGTGATGGACCTTTTTACCCACGGACCCCTTAAGCCCCGCTCTGCGCTATTATGCAAAATTTATTATTAATAGAACTACTGGTGATTATAAATATGTTAATAAAATTATTATTAGGTTACACTGTAGTAATAGAGAATAAGTTTCGGCACATGTCTTTCAATTAAATTAGAAAATTAGAAAAACTATGTAACTCTTGTGAACAAAATATACAATAATAAAGTAAGTGAATTGTATGTGTCGTTATTTATCCACATTACGCACAAAATTAAAAAGAAGAATTTATAGAGAGAAGACATTTAAAAAAAATTAAAAACTAGATATAAAATTAATAGAGCCAAAAAATTTTAAAATAATTCATAATTTGAAAAAAAATTCTTTTAAAGGGAAGGTATGGTTGAATAAACTTAAAATCATTATTGTCATAAAAAATAATTAATTTATGAAAATCTGATATGATCAAATGTAATTATATAAATAAATTCGTTATCATATTTTTAATTATCCACAATGTGATTTTGGATAACAATGACGTATCAATATCAAGTGCAAAAAGTCTTTGATAACGATGTTGATATTCTAAGAAATTGCCCATCCCCCTTACACACACACACACACACATATATATATATATATATATATATATATATAATATTGGTATGGCAGGTCTGTGAGCTGAGTTAAACTGCAACTTGATTCAGGGAATAATAGTGTGAGAGATTTCTCATTGCCATATTATATCGCAGTGCTCGAAATGGTCGATTTTTAATTTGAAACATATTTTTGATCTATATTATCAAGGAAAATGGACATCGCTTCTGCGCGATGTCAGGTTGTTGAGAGTGGGATTCAATCGTCCACACGAGTGCGTAAGCTTTACACCAAGGAATAATAAATACCTATATATAAATATAAACAATTTAGATGCTAATTAAATTGTTGAAAATCACCAATAGTCATCCTTAGCTAAAATAAAAAGAAAAAAAGAAAGAATGATTAAATGTTTTATGAAAAGTTAACAACCAATTAAATTTTTGAATAAGAAGTTAACCCCTTTTCACGAAGGTCAGGTATTTTCAAATTATTTTTACTCAGCAATAATTAACACAATCACTCAAATCTTTGTCTATTACTAAAGCAACCAGCAGAGTTTTAAATTTAAAAAAAAGTAAGATTATTGAAACAAAATGTAAATCTGTGATCTGTAAAATTAATTCATTAGCCAACTCTTATATTCATCTTTTATTTAAATTTAGTATTTAGTATATAATAACTAGTTTTACATATTTAATTCAACCAATGTGTTGAGAGATCAGCAAATTATTGTTATTAATTATATTAAAATAACTAAAGTAACCGCCATAAAAAAATTAAATTAACAATTTTACTTGGTATATTTATATTAAATGTTAATCCATCTAATTAAAAAGATTTTTAATCAAAGTCGAATTAATCGCAACGAGACTTTGTAAGTGAAAGAATCCACGGTAAACCTATAAAGTTCATAAATTTTAAAAAGAAGCGCTATCAATAAATCAATCTGCAATTCGCGATTATTATATCAATATTCGATAAAAAAATATTTTGCGTATATTATCAGTGTCATAAACTGTACATGACTTTAGCGTTTAATATCCAACATTTTAAAGTACAATGAGTATCTTATCGTAATATAAATAATACTTTGCGGATTCAAATTGTAAGATAATAACGCTTATTATTCAATATTTTATCAGAAAAATAAACTTCACAAATCATAAGCGCGGGTTAACATGAGATTTAACACATTTCAAAGTACTTTATAATTATTGAAATATGAACTTAGTAATCAAATAAATTTTTCCACTTTTAAAAATCTTGAAACTTGAATATGGTATTCGCTCTAACTATTAACGCAGAGTTTTTAAATAGGACGCATGAATTCCCATGCGTTTGCGACTACTCGTGTAGTCTCAGAAATCGAAAAAGAAGCCTTATTAGGACTCCATATGATTGCGCAAATCAGGGAACTTATTTGCAAAGACACAAATAGAGACGAAATAGATGAAATGTTGAATAACAAACGAATAGAAGAATCTGTAACAAAAATTGAAATAAATTCATTTACTAAAGGTTTTGTACAAACGCTGGCTTTATTGCAATATCCTGTGTAGAAAATCGAATACCACATACTGATAGACTGAAAATCGATACCATATACTGAATATTTAATTTGAATATTGAAAAAACATCTTATTATAGGATCCTAGCAATGAATACTAATTATAATATAACATTTGTATCGTTCTTACATTAATTATTACATACACAAATTGGTGGATTTTATTTCAAGTAATTGTGATATTCAGATCAAAGCTTTCCAGTCATTGGCGTGACTTAATGTTATTTCAAGTAATTACATTTTCAGCTATTATTTATGATCTGAAGTTCAAAATAATAGCTCTAGGTTCCCAAACTTTTTTGTGTTGTAAAACCCAGGGGGGGTTTGCCATGGACTCTCTATTTACCCGATATCGATTTTTTAAAATAATTTTTCAGCTGTACTAAAGTTTATCATTAATATATCATTAATAACAAAAAATTAAGGTAAGCAAAAACTAAATATTTTTTTTAACATTTGGCAACAATTTTGTAAGATTTAATCTTACATATCCCGGCAGTCTACATTTTTTTGTTCTCATTTTTTTTGTACTTTGAAGTACTCGTCGATCTACTGATCCACTCGTTAGCAAACCAGTTAAAATGCTAAATCTCCATTCTACTGTTTATTTTACAACTTTTTTAAAATCAGTATCCAAAAATACTATAACAGTCGATGTTTTCGGAAGCACCGCTCAATCGATTTGAATTATATAAAAAGCATTCGATTCCTATTGATAATAAGACGTGCTGATTAGTTTTTGGCAAATGTTGGTTCAGTCGTTTCGGACATACGGAGCAAAGCGGCACAAAATGGTAATTATTATGGTAGTTTATGAGAGAACGGATCATCCGATTTGAATAATTCAAAAAAACATTCCACTTGTATTGAGGTAATGAAAAGTTGATTAAGAAGTTTTTGCAAAGGCAGTTCTAGCGGTTTCAGAGATTCGGGAAAAACAGTTATAAAAAAAATGCCATTTGGGGGTCAAAAATCAGATATTTTGAAATTTGAATCAACCGATGTGAATGGGTATAAATTCTTTCAAGAAATTTCAAAATTAACAAAACAAAAAATTTAAAAAATTTAATTAAATTTGAATTTCAAAAAATTTCTATGTTTTCACAAAATAGCATTTTTAGAAATGTTTCCAAAATTTTCAAAAATTTCCAAAAAAAATCAAAATTTAAAAAAAAATAGTTTTTCTTTTCTGAGCTTTTTAAAAAGTTAAATTACGTTACGGGAAGCTCCTGCAATTTGTCTTAAGGCACGACGCCATGCACCACTAGTTATTTATTACTTTTAAAATCTATTCAGAAATATTGTATATGAGTTATAGATGTAGGAAATATATTAACGTAGTATATTGTGGGAGTCCACTACCTATATCCCTATTTTCATTTCATGCATCCCGACACTTTTTTTCGTTGACGTGGATTCCCTGAAAGTTGTCATGAACTCCTGGGGGTCCATTCTTAACGATATATTTTATTGGTATAATGCCTTACAAATACAAAAATTTAATCGATGATTGCTTAGCATCAGATCAGTTTGTTTATAATTATCGATATTTTTTACATGTTATTGTTGTTATGATTCTGTGAAGGTGTTCGAATACGACACTTGTTTTTTTGATTCGCACGTGTAAGCCATTCATGCGCATCGTTTACTATCGTCTCGAGGGAGAAGGAGTAATTTTTAAATTTGCGTTTCAAAATCTAAATCAGTCGCAGATAAGGCGCGCATACGCAGAAAAAACTTATCGTCGAGCCGTAAGAAATCGGCATGCTTTAGTTCCTTAATTAAAGTATTACGTGGCGCCCATGCCCATGATTGCGATACGCGAACTTTATTCATAAACACGGTCGAGCCCACCATCGGCTTCGTCGTTTGCAAAGTCACGCTGAGCCACAGAGCAGAGCCGCTCGACGAGTGTGTTGAGCCAAAGTCTATAATCACTAACCCTACTCCAGAGTTCTTGTCCATCAGAGACACAATAAGTACATATATCAGATGGACTTACGCACACACCTGAACCCGATCCACTAACACACGCTGAATTGCTGAACGTATAAATATTACCTCGTGTTCACCATGGAGTTTCAGTTACCGAATCTAAAACACCGCAAACGACTCCATGTAGATTGGTTTAAATTTAAAATTAGCGCGCTTCGACAGTTTGCCGAATACTAGTTGAATATTTAGTTAAAAATAGAATAACGCCGTCGATAATATCCTAATTGCGATACTGGTGATTTTTAGTGAATTTATTGATGTAACAACTAGTCACATTTCTGGACTAAAATAATTCAGTTAAACCGTGCTATTGTAGTAGTGCAAAATTACCGTGAGTGTTAAGCGATTTCGAACGTGCAAAATCAAATACTCACTCGTGAGATGGATTCGCGTCAACCGAAAAGCTTGGCACGATTGGCCAAAAATATGTGGAAATTCAGAGATTCGCTAGGAGAGATGGTAAGTTTGCATATGTTATATGCCAACATTTAACTATTTCAACAACTACTATTTAGGGTTCAATGTCATCGTTCATTTCACCGTTGCAAATTAATAGAGTTAATTGTGATAAAATAAACGAATTTATTTAAAAAAAAATCAATCTGAGAGCTGCTAGGCTAGGAACAATATATATTTTTTTATTCTAATAAAGAATAATGCTGAATTTTAATAAAAAATAGTTATTTATTTATTAACGAGCCTCCACCTAATACTGTAATAGAAGAAGGATTAACAACTGCAAAACAAAAATTGTATTAGCATCGTGCCTTAAAGCAATTTGTTTGTCCCGTAGTGTAATGTAAAGTTTTTAAAAGAATGAATTTGAATTTTTTGAACAATTTGATAAAATCGAAGAATTATCAAATTATCAGATATTATAGTGTTCAAAATTTTCAAAAAAAATTTTCAAAAAAGTCGATAGCGCATAGTCTAATGATCATTTTTGACCACAAAATGAATTTTTTTCTGGCCCGCCTTCCCAAAATGTAATCAATTCTTCATTCACTCAATACCAGTAAAATGTTTTTTGAATCATTCCAATCGGTCGCTCTGTTCTCTCAAAAACTAAAATGCCATTTTTGGCACTTTATCCCATATCTTCTAAACAGCTGGACTTGCCTTTGCCAAAAACTAATCAGCGTCTCCCCATCAATAGAAATCGAATGCTTTTTAAACCATTTGAATCGGTTGATCCGAAGTTGACGTCAAAATTTGTATTCGTACATACATACATACACACACACATACATACATCCATTTTTTTCTAACAAGGTATGCCAAAATGTTCACAAATGTTCGAAACAGAACTCTCAGCATTTGAAGGATTTTGAGAAAACCATATTATTTTTCTTCAACTATCTATATTAATATGTGCTGGGCTGTAATATTTTTGTCTTAAACTTAAAGGAATAACTTTCACACATAGAATATAAACCAATAGACCAAAACCAACATCATATTTGACATATTGTAAAAAACAAACAAATAGAACGGATGCTATTATTTTGTATACCAAAATATTCCAATTATCAATGAACAATTTTGTTCATAACAATTAGATCCAATTTGACGGTATGGTGAGCGACAGCAATTCATATTCAGTGAGCTTTTTGGCCAGGTTTAAGTATATTTTTTAAAATTTAAATATGACTAATTTTTACAACTATTATAATAAAAAATATTATAAATAATAATTTTTTTTTGTATAATTAAATTTTTGTCGACGCACGCCACTGCTTTCGCCGTTTTATAAAAAAATCCTAAATTACATAATAAAAATAGTTTTTATCTGAAATAATAGGCGTGAACAGAATGCTTGTGGAACAAGCTGGATATTAGATTAGATTATTACATCATCGTTAATATATTCAAAATTCAATAAAAAATCTTTATTAGTAATACAACTGGTTAAACTATTATCTTTATAATTTAAGTTTAATAATCAATATTAACCTTTAAATTTTATTATTAGCAAGAAGTAATGGCACATGAGAAATTAATATTCATGACTGTTGAAATACTTTCGAATAAATAATCAACCTCTCGCATGGGCATTACGCATAGTTTAATAATATAAATTAATAGAATTCAATAAAATTCATGTGGGATTTTGTTACGAAATGATTAAAAATCAATATTGCACCACAAGGTGCATGTATACCTATATACATATTCATGTGCAAAAACATAGGGTAGAGCGGGGCTTAAAAGTATACGGGTAAAAAGATCCACACCGATATCTCAAAAACAAGTACGGTTGAGAATTTTTAACAACAATATTTTAAAGTAGAGATTGAATAATGTAGTTATTTCGCAAAATCTCTTTAACTTTTAAAATAAGACATTGTACCTGTTTGCCTCTTGGCCGTCCCTGGGGTAAAAAACACTGGATAACATTTTGTTTAAAAACACTCAAAAAACACATTTTTAAAAAGATGGACTGTCTGGGAGTTTTACTGAACTTTTTCTGGTAGTTAGATTTGTTCGGTGTGTGCTAATTTTAATGATATAGGTAGATAGGTAGATATAGGTGGATATAGGTAGATATATGATAGGCTCGGTTTTAACAATATAATTGCTCATAGTCAAATTGAACCTTTGGGCCCCGCTTTACCTTACATATAAGTTTATGTATACCCATATGAATATATTTATATATAAGTGTATGTATGTAATTGTTTTCTAAACAGCACATCCAAATAAAGAACAAAAAGCTTTTTAAGGATAGTATTTATTTGTGACGTTTCGAAACAAGTTACGTTCCATAATCTAACTTTCTTTTAAAAACAAAGTACATAGTAGTTAGTATAATAAGCAATATGACAAGTCATTGAAAAAAATGTAGAGAAATGGATTATAAAACTTTAATAACAATATTTTGTTTTATATTATCAAAATTGAGAAACAAAAGTGTTTTATTTGAGATCTATAAACGCACCCCTAATTTTAAACCCACTACTTCCAAAAAAAATTATTTTTTATTTGGTTTTACTGTTCAGAAAACAAACAAATTAAGAGTAGAAAAAAGTGAAAATTTAATGCTTAAAATAATAATTCTTATACTATCAGTGCTCGGTCTATAAATATGACCGTTATATGAATAGCGCCACTTTTTTGCATCGATTTCATTATTACTAACAAGTTGTATTTATTATAGCCAATTTTATTTTGCTCGTTGAAATTAATGTTTATCATGAGTAACAATTATAAAACTAACTAGTGGTGTATGGCATTGTGTCTTAAGGCAAATTACTGGAACTTCCCGCACCGTTGCGAAATGTTCGATGAATATTAAATATTTTCAAATAGATTATTATGAATATTGTAACATTGTCTAATATTTGTAGGAATTATATAAACTGAATTGCAAAGTTAAAATTATTTGTTTAAAGTATATTAGTACTTTAGTCAGGTAGTTCAAAGTATATTAGAACTTTTAGTCAGAAATTCAGAATCTGAATTAGTTTCGAAATATAAAATTTTTTTTTGAAAAAAAAAATGGGAAAATAAATTGGAACAATTCTTTTTTCCAAAAGCAATTATTTTGTTAAAACAAGCAGAAAGTTCTTTGAATCATTTAAATCGGATGCTTTGTTCTCTCAAAAACTGGCATTTTTTGCACATTCAGCACTGTATCTTTGAAATGGCTAGACCTACCTTTGCCAAAAACTAATCACTTCTTCTCTCAATCATTACAAATTAAATGTTTTTTAGATCATTCAAATCGGATACTCCGTTCTCTCAAAAACTCGATTTGTACTTTCTGCTCTATTTGCTCCGCATCTCCGTAACGGCTGGACCTGCCTTTGCTAAAAACTAATCAGCCCATCTCCCTATCAATTGGAATTGAATGTTTTTCGAGCCATTCAAATCGGTTGATCCGTGCGCCAGAAAACGTGGACGAAAAAATGCGGACATACAAAACACACACATCCATTTTTTCTGAGGCTTGCCAAAATGTTCAGAAACCTTCAAAACGTGAAGATATGCAAAAATTTTCATTTTCAATTTTTGGCCTATTACTACAACTATCCTACGGGAAGTTAAAAATAACAATTTGGACAAAAATATAAGATAAAAAATTAGCATATCTCTTTTTGATTTAGAATTACAAGAATCAAATCATTCATCTAGAATAATAATCGTTTAAAGTTTCTTTTAAATCCATCGATACTTTATTTTTGAAGTAGACATTCTCGATTTTTACAGCATGAGAATTGAATGCAAAATATGGTTGGAAACCCATGTGAGATTTTAAATCTAGATTCCCCCTCTTCGGAAATCTTTAGACTTGGTTTGCTTAGAATGAATTCTTCTCATTCCAGTTTGGTTTTTTGTATTTGTAGTACCCGTCATGTGTATAATATTTACGAAAAGTTGTCTCTATACTCATTCTTTTTTTTTATTATTTTCATATAAATTACAATCTGTCTCCAAGAGACATTCAGTAATTAGATTGTTGGTAGTAAAAAATGGATGTTTAAAAGGATACCCAGTAGTAAACCTTTTAGTTATGATATGATATACTCATTCTTGAATTTCAAATAATTTTGTATAATATTTGTAATAAGCTTTCAGATAATATTTTTTTTTAGTTTACCACATAATTTTAAACTGCCTTTAGTAAATAAATGACAATGAGTGGAAGTTGCCAGCATTACTTTTACTTTAAATAAACTAATATAATTGAATAAGAGTAAAATTAAATTAAAAATAAAGTAGAAGTGCATGGCATCGTTCCCTAAGGCAAATTGCTGTAACTACCCGTACCGTAATTTAAATTTTTTAAGAACTTTAAAATTTGTTTAATATTTTGGAGTATACTGTTTTTTTGAGAATTTTGAAGTTTTTGAAAAAAATCGACTTTTTTGTACAAATTAAAATGATAGACCATTATATTGTATGAAGTGGTATGAAGCGGAATAAACTCTAAAAATTATTTGAAAATTGTAGAGAGATAATCTTCCAGATCTTAATATTGGCTAGGACACGTATTGAATTAATAACTTAGGACTCCAGCTGAACCCAATGATAAAATATATAAAATCTAAATATCCTTTATATTACTCTGATATGCGACTGTAATCGCATCATATCAGACAAAAATAATGAAAAAAGTAACATGCTTCGAATATGTGAAAAATATTATATTTTTATAGGCAATTACTTGATTAACGTGTTTATAGATTTATAAATTACATGTAACTATAATATTAATTTTGAATGTTATTTGGAATTACCAAATTTTATCACAAAATGCAATTTAGATAATTAAAGATGCAACAAAACAATTAGATAAATCCAGAATTGCAGAAAAATACATCTTGCAATAACCTCAGGTGACGTCAACTAATTTGATAGTCAAGTGATAAAAAATAAATTATAGTCTTAATCATGAAACCTTGTACATAAGCACATGAACTATAAAAAAAACATTCGAGATTTGATTCTGATTGATC